CGCTGTGGCTCAAGTGGTAGAGTGCTAGCCTTGAGCTGAAGAGCTGAGGGACAGTGCCCAGGCCCAGAGTTCAGGCCCCACAACCGGACCTAAAAAAAAACAAAAACTCCTTTCTCTGAAACAGCAATAAGAGACCTCCCACCCAAGAAAAGCCCAGGATTGGCTGGATTTACAGCTGAATTCTATAAGACTTTCAAAGCAGAACTTACACCAATACTACTCCAACTCTTCAATGAAATTGAAAGTGAAACACTTTTTTGGGGGGGGAGGGGTTCCAGTCATGGGGCCTGAACTGTGGGCCTGGCCGCTGTCCCTCAGTTCTTCAGCTCAAGGCTAGCACTCTACCATTTGAGCCCACAGCACCACTTCCGGGTTTTTTCTTTTTGCTTATGTGGTGCTGAGGAATCGAACCCAGGGCCTCATGCATGCAAGGCAAGCACTCTACCACTGAGCCACCTTCCCAGCCCAAGTGAAACTCTCTATGAAGCCATCAAAACTCTCATCCCCAAACCAGGCAGGGACTCATCAAAGAAAGAGAACTATAAAGGTTTCTTTGGTAAACATTGATGCACAACTTCTGAACAAAATTTTGGCCAATCAACTTCAACAACTCATCAAAAAAATCATACATCACGTTCAAACAGGATTCATTTCAGGGATGCAAAGCTGGTTCAATATACACAAATCAATTAATATAATTCATCACATCAATAAGAGCAAGGATAAGAACCACATGGTTATCTCAATAGATGCAGAAAATGCATTGACAAGGTCCAACATTCCGTCATGATGAAAGCTCTGGAACATTCCTCAATATAAAAAAGGCAGTATATGAAAAAACCTACAGCCAGCATTACACTTAATGACGAAAAGTTAACACCATTTCCTCTAAACTCAGGAATGAGATAAGGATGTCTGCTCTCTCCACTCCTCTTCAAATTAGCATTAGGATGCCTAGCTAGGGCAATAAGACAAGATGCAAACATAAAGGGGATTCAAATAGGGATGTCATATCTGCAGATGACATGATCTTTAAAGAATCTCATGGGCTCCACTCTCAAATCACTTGAGCTGATTCAAAACTTAGGCAAAGTAGCAAGGTATAAAATTAACTCTCAGAAATCAATGGCTTTCCTGTATGCCAATAACGAGAAGAGCAGGCTGAAATTAGGAAACCAACTCCTTTTGTAATAGCCGTCCCCCAGCCCCTGCAAAATACCTAGGAGTTAACTAAAGAAGTAAAGGACCTCTATGATGAAAACTTTAAAAACCTGAAAAAGGAAGTTAAAGCAAAACTAAGGAAGTGGAAAAATCTTCCATGCTCCTGGATTGGGAGGATTAACATCGTGAAAATGGCAATACTGCCAAAGGCTATCTACAAATTCAGTGCAATACCTATCAATATTCCAACCTCATTTTTCAAGGACGGCAATCCAAAAATTCATATGGAACAATAAAAGACCCCGAATAGCAAAAACAATCCTTAACAGAAAGAACAGCGCTGGAGGAATTCGATTCCAAATTTCAAACTCTACTGCAAAGCCATAGTAATCAAAACAACTTGGTAATGGCTCAAGATCAGACCTGAAGACCAATGGAATAGAACTGAAGACCCAGAATGAACTCACAGACCTATATCCATCTAATCTTTGACAGGGAGCTAAAAAATAGAATGGAAGAAAGACAGCCTCTTCCGTAAATGTGCTGCAAAATTGGTTAATCACTTGTAGAAAACTAAAGCTAGATCCTTATATGTCACTCTGTACCAGAATCAACTCCAAATGGGTCAAAGACCTCAAAATAAAAGCAGACATACTGAAAACATTACAGGGAGTAATAGGAGAAACTCTAGGGCTCCTTACCACAGGTGGAAATTTTCTTTACAATAGAGACCCAGAAACACAACAAATCAAAGAAAGATTGGACAAATGGGATTGCATGAAACTGCAGAGCTTCTGCATGGCAAAGGACATAGCTAGCAATATCAATAGAAAGCCCAGGGATTGGGAGAAGATCTTCACTAGCTATACAACGGACAAGGGTCTCATATTTAAAATATACCTGGAACTCAAAAAATTAAATCCCCCAACAACAAATCCTCAAAGAAACAACTGCCCAATAAATAAGTGGACTAAAGACTTAAAGAAAGACTTCTCTGAAGAGGAAATAAGAATGTCCAATGGACACACAAAGAAATGCTCAACCTCTCTAGCCATAAAAGAAATGCAAATGAAAACAACATTGAGATTCCACCTCACCCCAGTTAGAATGGCTATAATCAAGAACTCTAATAACAACAGATGCTGGAGGGGATGTGGACAAAAGGGAACCCTACTGCATTGTTGATGGGAGTGTAAACTTGTTCAACCACTTTGGAAAGAAGTGTGGAGGTTCCTCAAAAGACTCCACATAGAGCTTCCCTATGACCCAGCAATCCCACTTTTGGGCATTTACCCAAAAGATCAAAAACAAGGTCATACTAAAGCTACCAGCACAACCATGTTTATCACAGCATTATTCACCATAGGTAAGATATGGAACCAACCCAGGTGCTCATCAGAAGATGAATGGATCAAAAACTGTGATATCTATATCTATATTCATATCTATATATCTATATCTGTGTGTTTGTGTGTGTATGTGTGTATAATGGAATTCTATGACTCCATAAGAAAGAATGACATCACCCCATTTGTTAGGAAATGGAAAGACTTGGAAAAAATTATATTAAGTGAAGTAAGCCAGGCCCAAAGAAACATAGGTCCCATGATTTCCCTTATTTGCAATAACTAGTACTGTCTAGGACAAGCAGAAAAGGTCATAAGCTATGTATGTATGACCATATAAGATGATGTTAATTCTATTCCATTGGTCCTGAGGTTTTTCTTGTGCCAGTACCAAGCTGTTCTGATTACTATAGCTTTGTAGTAGAGTTTGAAATTTGGTATTGATATTCCTCCAGCATTGTTCTTTCTGTTAAGGATCGTTTTTGCTATTCGGGCTGTTTTATTGTTCCATATGAATTTTTGGATTGTCTCTTCTATTTCCTTGAAGAATGAGGTTGGAATATTGATAGGTATTGCATTGAATTTGTAGATAGCCTTGGGGAGTATTGCCATTTTCTCGATGTTGATCTTTCTAATCCAGGAGC